GATAGATGATAGATAGATAGATGATAGATAGATAGATAGATAGATAGATAGATAGATAGATAGATAGATGATAGATAGATAGATGATAGAGATGATAGAGGTAGAGATAAAATCAAAATGTAGGTAAGGAAGAAAACATCATAATCAGGAAAAGTATCATAATCAGGAAGAACATACTTGGACATATAGAACAAAAACAGGCTAAAACTGTGTTGGAATGCTTTATAATTAATGTATGTTATCATTTTCTTTTTTGGATCCTCCACGGTGTTTGTCTTGAATAAACTTATGCAATGGCATTTCTGCTAAAAGGCTTGGTTAGAAAATAGAATTCCAAATGCAGGGTGTCCCAAAAAAATGTATACACACTTTAAACCTGATAGCTCAATTGATGTTTCTTCCTTTTCAGATTCAACCCATTGGAATTAGTAATTACTCAAAGTGTGTATATATTTTTGGGACACCCTATATATACAAATAAATAGTGTGTGCCCAAGGTTTTTTATTTGTTTGTTTGTTTGTTTGTTTGTTGAAGTAAACAAGAGAGCTTGCTTTGAAATGATATGTATGGCAAAGGGAGTTTTGTGATGTCCACTCACATGCTGTGGAAATGTGGGTCATTAATTCTCTTCTGTATGAACACAGGTGTGTCTCACCAAATAAATGGCAAGCAACTGGAAGGCAGAGACCAGATCTTTTATCTCTCTTGTGTTGTGAGAACAAGCAATGCCCAGCACACAACTGAAACTCGAGGGCTTTCAATGAGGAAGCCTACGTTAACTCTATTCTCATGTTCATATTGATGAGGCTAATCCGCCCCAGCAGCAAAAGACTGTCAACTGAAAACCAGGGCCTCGAATGGCCATCCTGGCCCATTCCTAACATAGAAGCCTGGGTTAAATTACCTTTAAGATTCCCACTAACTCTAGAATTCTACTCCTTATTTGTAGACATCAATTTAATCCGCATCATCATAAATCAGCGTTAAGACATAATTACTTTTAAAGGTTTATGGTTATTTATTGAAATTTTCAACAGCATGAAAGGAAACCAAAGGCTTGAGAGAAGCAGCTTTGGAAAATTTTTATATTTCTATTTACAAAATCACACCGCAAACCTGAAAATAGAGATTACACAGCCAGTGGTCCAAATCAAGACAAATCAGATCTTCGATCTTCCTGAAATTGTTGACCTTCTGGTCATAACGTCCTCGGAGAAGGGGACACTTGAATTTTCCCTCCACTACATCAAAGTTGTTATCACACAAAGGGAAGGCCGACCAGCCGACAACACAGTCGAGAGGGGCGTGCTTCCCACGAAGGAGAAAGAGCTCGAATAAGAACGCCAGGCCGGGTTTCACAGCTTTCCCAGGAGGGAGCACCTAGGAAAGGCGGGAAGGGAGGGAGACATTGGCAGGCTGCTGCTGAGAAACACAGCTGTTCAGTGATGCCACAGATTATTCAAAATTACGTAAAATGATGGTTTGTACTCCTATTTTTTGCCCTTAAACACTCTCCTTGGATGCATTTGTGTATATAACCTTCCCAGCCCCAGGTACTTGAGCAACCATAGGACAATAAATATGAAACCCAAACAACAAAGGACAGATGGGAGCCTGCCAGTTCAAACGCTGTGCTCTGCGATCTTCAGGAACACACGTAATATGTTAACTAACATGTTATACACTGTACTTTCCAGTCCCCTTTGCTTGAACTGGCACGTCTATGTATAACTGTTTCTATATTTTGTTACGGTCTTTATTTTACCTGCCTGCATTTATCTTTGTATCATTCATGTGCCCAGAATAAGTGCTTCCCACTGAAGAAATGCTTTTAAAAAAAAAGTTTAATATCACACTCCAGAGAAAATAATCCTAGGCATAATGATAGCTTGAATTACTATTACAAGGCCCACTTCTTCAAGGAAAAATAGTGTCCCATTTAATTTTGTGACTATTCTGTTTATTTCAGTTGACGCGATAATGCACATCATTGTATAAGCAATTTGTCAGTGCTAAATAAATATTGTGAGGCATAAAGATAGATGAAATGATCAGATTGGCCAAGCCACTGCTCAGGTTCCCAGATGTAGAGATGGGACCTACCCTTCAGCCCTTATAAAAATGCTTTAGGAAAGTACGATAGATAAATCATCTTTTTTCAAAAATGGAGTATAGTATAGGATTTTTAAAAATTCTATGTAAATAATAATAAATGGGCAAAGATTCGGACTTGCCTTAGACTATTTTATAATATATTTAGCCAAAAGTGTGCAGGCATATTTTATATGATTTATGTAAATATTCCAAGGCTTAGTTTATGTTTAAAATGAAACAGAAGCATCTGTTGAAAAATGCCATAACCCTGTGGCAGCTGCTATTAAACCATTAACAGGATCAGGTTTCATTTAAACCAGATTTACCATTTTCTACAACAGCCCATGGGAAAGCTAAAAACATTAGGCACAAATTACTTGACAAGAGAGATTCTTAATCAAGCCATACTTTTCATTTGGCTGGTTGGCTGTGAGTAACCTCTGTGATAAGAAGATAAAAGCTCTATGAGGACGAGAGTAAAAGAATGGAACCAAAAACCTGTTTTAATCATTTAAAAATAAAGCTGAACTGTTGCTATTACAGCAATTTCATCTATTTTTATCCCTGCTTTTATTTTT